CCGGAGATTTTGGGGGTCCCGTAGTGGGTCCTGGGGAGAGTTGGAGGGGCTGCATTCAGAGCCCGTCCATGAGCACAGCCCCTGTCAGGGGTAACCCACTCTCCTGTGAGTGCAGCCACCCCGTCCTGCCCCACTCCAGGAACTCTTTGCTCCCCCTTTCCCCTCCCCTATTTCCCAACCCAACGGCCCAACTGCCGCAGGAAGCCCTGGGCCGCCCTGCGTTGGGAAATCTGCCCAGCTCTGCCGGGACAGAGCTCTGCTCTGGGCCCCAGAGTGAGCCAGGTTCTGCAGTGAGGGTCAACACATCCCCCCACACCCTGCCCCCCATCCCTGCACCCCTTTTTGCCTTCCAGGTTGATGCAGAATAGAGGGAGGAAACTGCCCCTCTGCCCACAGCATCATCCCACAGTTATTGGGGTTTTGGAGGGGCTGAAAGAGGCATTGGATGGGGGCACAGCACAGTCCCTGTGCCACCCACAGCACTCCTGGGGACACTGTGGAGGCTGAGAGGTGTCCTGGGGCCCCGCTGCTGCCACCTCCCTGCGGAGAGGAGATTCATGGCAGGAAAAAAGGGAGCCAGGGCTGACGAGCTGCTCTGCTCCTCATCTCCCACTCCGGGGGAAGCTGCACGGGAGCCCTGAATTGCACAAAGCAGCAGCACCCGCAGGAGGAAGCGGGAGGGAAACACCCGCCCCCATCCCAAAGCTCAGCCCCTGAGGGGATTTAAGCCCCCCCAGCCCCAGCAGCACCAGCGGTGGTGGCAGTGTCCCCTCTCCGTGCCACCATGGTCACAGCTGGGCTCTTCATCCTCATCATCCTCCCAGCTCTGGCTCCGGCAGGTAATGAGAGAATTGGGGTGCCAGGGCACATCCATAGGGTGGGAGACACCAACCCCGGCCTCCAACCACCCCCTGCGCCCACTGGGCACATCCTTAGGGTGGGAGATACCAACCCTGGCCTCCAACCGCCCCCTACACCCACCAGGCACCCAGGGCAGCCAGATCATCGGGGGCAAGGCTGCAGCCCCCCATTCCCGGCCCTTCATGGCCTCCATCCAGCTGGACGGCGAGCACGTCTGCGGGGGCTTCCTGGTGTGGCCCCGCTGGGTGATGACAGCCGCCCACTGCTTCATTCCCAGGTGAGCCTTGGCATGCTGTGCCCCCTTCCAGCCACTCAATCTGCCCCCTTTGAGTCCCCCTGGCCATTTCCCCATCCCCAGGGGCTACCAGCAC